TTTTTTTTTCTTTTAATTTTGAAGAATTTCTTTTTAATCAGGAGAACAGTCAAATATTCCAACAGGTTGGTTAGGGAACCTGTGCAGTTGTAGCGGGGAAGGATGCAGAAACTGAAACCATACACCGTTGAAAGCTCAACAAAACCAATATTTATTACCAAGAGGTGGCCAACAAAACGAAAAACCCGATAGAGAAGAAGGAGGAGGAAACAAGCCCTCAGTACGACTCCCCCTCTCACCCAGATGTTGCTTACAAAGTTTTCTTACGGACCCCAGAATGCCTAGAATTGCCCACAGCAGAAGCTGCATTCTTGGAGTGTCGGCAGGCTCACAAGATAGCGGGCGTCCCTGCAAAAGGCAACGTTGTCCTTTGATGTGAAGCTTCTGTTCACTCCCAGCACAAGCCATCTGCTTTTTATATAATTAATTGGTGGTGTCTACCTGGGCAGGTGTGGCCAGCACCGCCCAGCTAGAGGCTTTCAGTCCCTTCCCCTGTTATGCAAGTGGCATCTCTTCTGCGTATGCATGGGTACCCTGGAATTTCCCCGTGCCTGCGTGCTCAATCCCAGGGGGTCTTTCATAAATGAGTCTGGGGACTTACTTCATCCTCCTCCTCTTCACTTTCTCCTTCAAATGCCCATGAAGGGCTGTCAACCAATAGTGAAGTACCAATTAATTCTAGTTTATACAAGATGCTCCCTTCAAGGACCAAGTTCTTGTTTATCAGTGCTTGTTTTCTCATAACTTGGCAGGAAAAGAACAGACTCTCACAAGTGGCTGGGCCAAACACAGACCAAAGGTAGCAGCATCTAACTAAGCATGAATACAGCAGTCTTCAGACTTGGAGGCTTTCAAGATCCAGCTAGATAAAGCCCTGAGCAACCAGCTGGCCATGCTTGAGCAGAAGGCTGGACCTGAGGTCCCTTCCAAACTCAGTCATTGTGTGATTTGAGATTCTCTGCAGAAACACTTGTTAAGTTTACTCAAAATCCTGTCGTTTTCTAAATGTGACAGTTGGTCTGATAAAAGATATTGTCTTTACCTACAAGCTATCTCTTACCTATAATTTCCAAGACAAAAACCCACAGATGTTCCATCAAGCGGCATCATGCTTACAGCTATATGGATCATTACTAGGACTGGACTCTTTCAATACATCCCACAGACCTTTGGCATTTGAAGTGAACAAACTTACAGTAGCTGTAATGATCAGCCTGAGTGTTCACTGAGAATGGTGGGGAACCCATGGCTGGCAAATAACCCAAGAAACGCTCTGGCAAATTCAAAAACCAGCAAGACCCAGTATTCCATGCTCTACTCTAGGTTCTGACAGTTTTCCTAAGCTTTTCCTTTTCTGCTTTCATGAATTCTAGTTGTGTCTCTGTTTCACCTTGTTCAACTAAAGGCTGACTGCTGGATGTTAATATGTTTAACAGAAGCAACCTTTACAGAAGAAATGTCAGTATAGAAGTAGATTGGTTAGGTACAAACTACTAAGATGTCTAACTACTAAGACACTAAGATGTCTTGCTTATAATGTACATAAACATATGGTCCTTAAATGTAAGAAGGCAGGGGCTACTACATGCTCTCACTTCCTTCTGTTCTTGCAGAAAATCTGGAAACTCAGAGGTACCTTATTGACAACCCAAAGCACTCCAGTAAGATTAGTCTGCTTTTCTTCAGCCTGACTTAAAGATCATGTTTAAAAACAGGATTCACATTCTTCTTGATTTACTATCCCCTTTCTGAATCCTACAGTCTTACACTTTCAGGTCCCATTATGCATAATGAGTATGAGTTTATTGCCTCCCTCTTATAATTGATAGCTGTAGTTGTCCAAAAAGTCACCCTGGAGCATGCACCATTGAAGAGAGACGCTTGTGATAAAGCCACAAAAGGTAACACTCTTACAGGTCACACTGCTTCAGAAAGTGTAACATTCCATCCCTGGTCACTATGGCAAAGCTGTGTGAAGGGAAAAAAAGCAAGAGAATTACTATGGTCTGATATCCTCAACGGGGTTATCAGACCAAAATCTTCACTAACTCTGCAACTTCCAAAAAATGAAAATATTTGATAAATTGGTGAGTGTACCCAAAGCCTAAATCATCCTGATCAAAAGGTATGACCCAGGTTTGGAACGCGATACTAGAACTGCTCTACTAGCTTTAACACAAATCAACACTTGTGACAACAACCTGTTCTAAGAGATATAAACCTTAATTATAACCGAGAAATAAAATTAGATGCTACCTTAAATAGGCCTGACGATACAGGACAGCCACACCTTTGACACATCACAGTTCAGATGAAACTTTTTTCATGTGCAATTGCTAGGAGGCCCTCACTTGTTAAACCTTATGACTCTGATTACTACCTAGTTTGCAAAAGCTATGTTGACATTTCATACAGTGACTTTTAGGTTTCTATTTGCTGTCTTTCTTCCCAATTATGTTAGCAAGCTTTTCTCCTTTTCTGGAATTGCTTTCTACACTAGATTATCTGGTTTGCCTTTCTAATGCTGTCTACTAATCCTGCCACCTAGCAGATGCACTGTCAGCACCAAGGAACCTTTTCATTCATGATTCATACCACAAGGACATTGAAAACATTCAGAAGGCTGTGCTTTTAAAATGATCTATGCTAAAGAGATCTAAGTGAATACTACTGGAAAAATGTATGGTCTTCCTCTCTCGCCGTTGCTTGGTTGTGGCAGCAGTTGAGCTAATGAAAGTGAGTGGTGAAATGAATTAAATAATTAGTACTGTATGGCAGAATATGTTTAATTTTTAGTTGGATTTATTTTTTCCTGGATTAATTTTTTGTGTTCAACTCACTGTGTGGTAGTATAAGCTCCACTAGTTGGCCCATTGTAAAGAGCAGCTATACGGACCCAGGAAAAATGGCAAATTGAATGAGCTTAAAGAAGATTTAAAAGCACAGCTTAAGAAAATTATTTTTACTCCGATTCAAGGCCAAGCTAGGTTTGTGGATTTGCACTAAGGGAGGAAAAAGGCATATCTTGAAGTGCAACAGAACTTCAAATATCCAGCTTGAGCTGAGGCAGTAAGTTGGCCCCTTTGCTTGGTTCTAAGGGTAAAATCCCATTTATAAGCTACTATTGTTGCAAGTTCTTCCAGGAATCTGAGCACAACAGTACAAAAATGCCTAGCTGGTAATTTCCCTTGGGAGCAATATGGCCCATCCTAGCCATTATCAGCTTTCACACTCTGTTAGCATGGCTCCTTTAGTCATAAATTATACTTTAAGTAATCATCTACTGCTTGAAGCTCTGAGAATAGAAGAAATACCTTGCCTTTCCACAGAGCAAATCTCTGATCCCCTGAGGACACAAAACAAGCATGAATATACTTTACACTAGGAGATAATTTCATCTGAAGAATATCATATTCAAGGATCAGTATGTCTGGGCATGTAGGTTACAAATGAATATTTGTATAAGCTTGTGTACTGTAAGATTTACTTATTGATTACCTTCAGACCACAAAGCTGGAGAGTACTTTTTCTGTCAAACCCACATTTATTTCTGTGTGTATGAATGCATGTGAACATGTGTTAAAAAAAAAAGCAAAGATGTCTGGGAAGTACAATTCAGCCAGGAAATCGGCTCAACAACATAATTGCTACAGATAATACCACAGAGCACATGACATGTGATCTTGGATATATATTAATGTATTTGTGTTTCTTAAACCACAATGGCCTTCAAGCTCTATGCTAGGAATGAGTTCACAACTTAGAAGAATGTCACCTACTGAATGTGATTTCAAGGAGTATGTAGGGTTTTTGCTTTTACCTGGAATTCTTCAGCAAAGCAAAAGTCAGGTTGCCCCAGTTACCGTGGTGATAACAGTATTTACCACTGTCCCTGAGAAAATGCCAGTGAGCAAAACTGATCATTTTCGAGACCCAAAGAGAAATGTGCTTTGGTTGTTGGTCAGATAATTACCTGGAATACCTGAACCTTGCCAGTTAGTCTTAAAATTAAATAAACAGTTCATTGAATCTGTCTGAATCTTGGTGTGTGGCACAATGGCATTATGATGACTAAGTAATGGTTAAAAATACAAACTGAGAGCTTAAAATAAGCCGTTGATAATGCGGTGGCTTTGTGACTCAGTACTTTTGTATTGGTCCATTGAGTGTATTTGTCAACAAAAGACCATTTGCACAAACTGTATGATATGGGGTGAGTTTGCCCTTTCAGATTTCCTGCCTGGCCATTTCTTCTCAGCAGTGGAGAAGTTGTCAATGTTGAGTTGGAAGAGCTCTCAGAAACTCATAAAGGTGATACAAGAACCATGAAAAACACTGGGTCTCCTTTCCTTGCTCTGCGATTAAACTGGAGGTGCCAAATAAGCACAGAGCCTTTAAAATGGCAATCGTCAAGGTGGGTATCTCAGTTTTGTGTCCTCATCTGAGCATCGCATAGACGCTCCCTTCCAGCTGGGTGTACCACGCGGAGCGGAATGCCCTGGGCGCCTCCCCGTGAGCCAGATCGCCATCGGGCCCCTGCCGCCCACCCCCGGGGCTAGGTGAGCAGGGGCCCGTGTCGGCCGCGGGCGGGGGAGCTCCGGGAGCGCGGCTGAGGCACCCGTGAGCCCCGGCAGCTCAGCCCGCCCTGGGGAGGGAGCTTCCCCAGAGTGGAGGGCAGGGGAGGGGAGGGGAAAGGAAAGGAGAGCCTGCCCTGCCTGACAGGAGTTGTGCCGTGGAAAAAAAGTTGCAGCGCCTTTAGAGCCCGGCGGTGACAGCCGGGAGCGCGTGTCGGTACCTGGTAAACCGGGAGGCTTCAGAGAAGAGCAGCCCCCAGCTCAGTACTTCCTCCTGCCGATAAGATCTTCCCCAGCGCTCGTCACGGGTGGCGGCCGCCGCCGCTGCCCTACTTGAATTGGTTTCAGACTCCTCCCGAGGCGAGACGGGCGCGGAGAGCGGCGAGGCGGGAGGGAGGGGGCGATGCGCGGGGCTGCGCCGCTCCGCCCGGCCTCCTCCGCTCCGCGCAGCTCCGCGCCCTGTGCCGCCGGCAGAGCCGGCCGGGCGGCGGAGCCGCGGCTCGAACCGGCATGGGGACCTTAGGGAAAAGAAGAGAAAATCAGTGAGTTCACCGTGTTGTTTTACGCTCCCGTCTCCCCCTCCCCGCGGCGGCGGTGCCAGGGTCGGTCTCACGACGCTGCCCCCGAGACCGTGCGGTGCCCGCCGGGGCGGGGGGACGGGCACGGCGCTGCCCCCGCGGCGGGGCTGGGGGGCTGCGGGGGTGGCGGGGCGGCACTCCCGAGGGCTGGAGCTCCTTAGGTGCCAGCCGGGGCCCTCCCGGGTGGGACAGAGAGGGAAAAAGAAGCGCGGGAGGGGGTGTGCGGGGGAGGATTTTGTTTCACCCCTTTGAACGCCAGTGTGCGCCGGGCAGGCGGTTCATTGCGGGATGGCGGAGCCTCACGGTACGGTGTGGGCAGAGCGGGGGGGGCGGTGCCGTCCCCGCCGTGCTCGGTCACCTGCGGCACGGCCGGCGGGGGCGGGGGGCGCCGGGCGAGGGGCCGGAGCGCGGCTGTCCCGGCCCCGCGGGGGAGCGGCACCTGCTCCGGTGTCACCCCACGAGCGCGTGGTCACTTATTTTTGGTGCCTTCCCCACCGGTGCTAGCGCGCAGTAGCAGTACAGGGCGGGCGTCCCCCTGCCGCCCCCCGGTTCCGCTTTCGCCTGTTTGTCATGTCGGCTGACTGCTGCGAGGATCTGTTCTAAGAAATGGCCAGATGTGCCTCTGGCTGAGCTGTGCCTGTCCAGTGTGGCCAAGTCGGCTGCAGTGTTACTGTAAACTTTTTTTGGGGTGTGAAAACTTCAGTTTTCCTCCAGTGTGTTGCCAAAACCCGAAATATTTTCTGCCTTAAACGGTATTTTATTACTACTGCATTGCTAGGATCCTCTGCCCTATGTTGAGAGTCACTGGAATAAAGCTAGGAGAGGAGTTTAAGCCTGTGGAAATAAAACCCTGAAAGCTGATCAGGCTCTTGTTCTTTTTAAATGAGAACAGGAAGTCATATCACAAAGCTAAGAGGGAAATTTAGAGAAAGGGGGAAGGGAAGAGAATATTTGCATAGCCACTGTCAGCCTACGGAGGAACTCGGTGATGGTCACTGCCTCTGCAGGGTCAGGCTTGTAGTTTCCTGACTTTGAAACACTGGAGGCCTGCGATCAGTGTTGGGTTGTAAGTGACACCATGGGTAGTTTTGTGGCTTTCCAAACATTCAAATGAGACAGAAAGGTGTGGATAAGACTTGATATTCAGTGGGATGAGGTAGGGTCCAGTCTGTTTTCACAAGGCATACATATTTCCAACTTCATCCAGGAGTGCCTATTTGGGGATGTTTGTGAGTTTACTTCTGTTATCTGTGTGTAATATGCACGCTGGATACATTTCTATGCCTTTTCTTACCAGGACTGTCAACTTATTAATAAAGTCTTGCATAGCGTTCCAAGAAAAGTTGTGTGATAGCATATAGTTTTATGTAAGATAACTTCTTAAAGATGCTGGAGTCACTTGTTTAGGAAGACTCTGGAGGGTCTGAAATAAACCCAAGGACTCTCTGAAAAGTCAGAAGTCCCTGAAATAAACCCAAGTTTTATTGAAACAGCAGTGGTTGTTGTTCTTTTGTGAACTGTATGTTTATACTTCTGTCAGATTTTGCAGTGGTTCCTGTTACTTGCAGGCAAATATGTTTCAGCACTTTTCATCAATATAATATTGTGCCTATTTACTGCTTCATACAGAATTATGAACTATGCAAGCAATGAACAGCCTTTAATATTATCTGTAAACATGCACATTCTTGACGTCTAAGGTATTATATGATCAAAACACAAGCCTAAAATTAGATATATGCTTTATTTTGGTTTCTTTTACATTTATTATTACATACGTTTATTTACTTGTCTATGCAATTTTAAAACAACTTCATAGGAAATAATAGTATAGAATAGATGCAAATTAATATATTTGTTTTAATTGTGAAATACACCACTGTGAGGTTGCGCTCATATTGTGTTTACTTATTAGTGATTTTTTCCAAATTAAATTAATAAAGCTAGCCTGGTGTTTTCCAATGTGTTTAATATTTGATTATAGTTATGTTTTTTTCTCCTTTACTTTTGGTGGGCACAAAAATATGTGGTGGTAGGTTCCGGCATGGCACAATTGCTGTTACATAGTTTGAGAGGGTTTTATGCTTGTGCTGAAACTGCAGTGTAAACATAATTCCCCAACAAAGAAACAAGACTTCTGGTAATCTTGACAGATCATTTAGGGAGCTCTATAACCAAGCACTCTGCACTCCACATTTAGCAGAAAAAAAAAAAGGCACTTACTGAGCAGTCCCTTCAGTGTACATATTAAGTGGGAGGGTTTTGTCGTTCAGTACCCTAGCTAGAAGGAGTTAATTGTCCTTTAAATCTCTCCTCCTTTCCCATGCAGTGTAAAATTTGCCACTCTATCTTCTTGTATTTACTTCACTGTTGTGTTTTCTTTAGGCAATCTGCTCAAGCATGCAGCACTGCCCCTGAATCAGCACTGGAGCTGAAGCAGACCAGTCACTGTCCCAGCCTCTCTAATCATACTCAGGTCATGATGGTGCCATTGGGGCATCTAGCCAAAGGAGCCACTTTGGAAGATCTTCTTGAAACCTGCATTCAGTCTTTTGGTGAGTGTCTGGAGGTTTTTAGAATCATATTAATTTGTTTCTGTCCTGGCTATGTTTAGGTCACTTAGTAGTGAATTACATTGATTCACTGGTGGAGTAGAAAGGTGTTAACTGAAAATTTTCTATGCTGTAGGTGACTGTATTTTTATAGGTTGGTGGATGTATTTATGCATACATGTGTAACAGATGCTAAGAGATTATTATGACTACTGCTTTTTCTTGAGGGAACAAGGCAAATTCTAGTCATCTATACTTCTATGAATGTTTTTTGTTGTTCCTTCAAGTACCAATTTTGTAAACTTCAGCAAGTAATCATACTTTGCATATTGCAGTAACATTCCCATAATGTGTGTAAGCAATGTGTTCATATTAAACATTTTTAAGTGAGAAGGGCTATTTTTAAACTACCTGAGATCACATTGGGCTGCTTTTTACATTATCAGTATAGATTTAAAGTTGCTTCTCTACAAAAGAGAAAGAATTAAAAAAGAAATCACAACTGTATACCTTTTTGTACCTATCAGTTATCCATTTGTCTTTTTACAGTAAGAATTGTAGTATGGATAACCATAATTGTTGCCTAAGTCTTGTATCCCTAGTTTGCTTTTCCAACTTTTTCATTAGTACATGTGTTTATATTTTATATTATTAAAATATTTTAGTACTGAAGGCACTCAAAATGATTCTGAATGATTTGCTTATAAGTAGCACGTCTGTTTATTAGTGCTGAGTCTTTCAGTGCTATGAGTGATTCTCAAAGTATATGTGGCAAAGTCTTGGTTGCAGAGTAGTCCTTAGAAAATAAATGTGCTTGAACACCCACTCAGCTGTAAAAAAAAATCTATATAGTTAAATAGTAACACATCGTGCTGATCAAGTGGTACAGCGCATAAATACTTGGGTAAACAATTACTAATCTTTCACATTTGTTGGAAATTATTTTTTTTTATCTTTAAAGCCTTCTAATCAGCATGTGCAGAGAAATGCGTGTCTGAGAAAAGCTGGTGAAATCTGTAATTGTCAGTAATGTCTTGTTTCTTTTTGGCTTCTTTTCTCCTCCATTTAAATGTTGTGAAGACATATTCACTGAACTGCTGTAAAGCCCTAATTTCTTAAAAAGTGTTGATTCATATTTTTCTAATTTTTGGTTCACTAAGAGTGGGATAAGACATCTAAAATACAAGACCTTCAGATGGTTTTAATATTGTGACTACTTGACCAATATTAATGCTCCATATTTTTTTGAAAAAGGTAATATAAATGTAACATTATAAAAGTCTAGTAAAATTATTAAGGTTATTAATTTAAAGTAGTGTAGGTGAAACCCTGAATGGGAGATTATTGTTGTCTAATACTCTGCATAACAACATACATGCTTCTATGTTCTCAGATTCCTGGACATCCATACATTAAAAGAACTAAGGTGACCAAGAAAACCAAGTGTACCTGTCCAGTTCAGCTATATATACATATATATATATATAGTCCAGTACATAGGGTTTTCTTGAACCTGGATAAGTGGCACATAGGTCTAGCAAAGTGAATTTAGTGCACCTGCAAACATTATTATAACTCACTGAGTACTGCTAGAGTTATGATACATGCTGCAGAATTTTAGACTGTTCATTGGGCAGTTCATATATTTATACATCTTCTATGACATTATGCATGTTCTTACACTCTGTTGGAATTTCCCATAGGGTATTTAAATAAGAGTGCAACTGTTACAACTGTAGATAACCTACATAGTGAAGTTCATTACAGAAGGCTCTTGTAGCTACCAATAAAAACACAGTGCAAAATTCATTCACATTATTGTGAATAAAGCCAATAAAGGAAGAGATGAAAAAAAATTTAATTTAGGATTTTGAAGAGAGGTGGGGGTATGGAGAAAAATAGTGGGGGAAAAGTATGGTTACAGAATGATTACAAGCAATCTGAAAGACTGAGCAAGTTTCTTCCCATGCATAGTACTGAAGTAAATCTTCTACCTTGTATGCTAGTAGTTCTATTCAGAATGAGATTATATCTTCAGTCTTGGATATGCTGACCTATAATATTTTGTATATTATTCTAAAAATTCATTTTCGTGATCTGAGCAAGTTTTATTTAAATGTTAAAAATACAGAAACCCTCAAGACATTATACATTTTAAGTTTGTTTTCTAGATTTATTTGTTGTCTAGTGTTAAAGAGAACAAGAGGCAGTAGATAGAGGTGGTGATGCATCACATTTCACAAGATATACTTCATTATGTTAATATTATACCGCACTTGCTAATACTATGTTTACAAGTACAATTCCTATATAATGTGTGTAGCGGAGTTTATGCTCCTGGACTCAATTATACAAGTTTGGAAAAAGCAAATAATGTGTAACAGAGACTGCTGTCAAGAATGGTGTGTAAGGATGTTGGCAGCCTTTTGCTATATATGTAGGGACTCCCACAAGGAGGTCTAACTAAGAAAATATTAAGAATTAATACACACAGCTGTAAAGAAGACAAGTATAAGTATTTTACAGCAGGGATAAGGACAAGAAAGGAGAAAGTGGGATATGCTAAGCTGAAATTAGAAGTGAGAGGACTAAGCTTTGCTGCAGTGTTGTAAATGGATTCCAAGATGTTTTGTAGAAAGACAAGTTTTGTCCAGAGAACCAAGTTAATCCAAAACTTATACTAAGGAGGTAAGGAACAAAGACCGGATCTTGGAGTTAATATCTGTAGAAGTATCTAGGTAGGAGATGACAATGGAGCATGGACAGAATAGTGTAATTACAATGGTGGTGGTGTATCCACTAATTCAGAGGCCTTTGTTTTGTTTTTTTGTTTGTTTGTTTTTGTTTCTTCTTTCTTTTTTCTGAAAAGATCAAAAGCTTAGTCAGTGCAGTTAACTTAAATACCTACTTTGGGATGATTAGTGTGTGCTCTTTCACCTCTTAAATTTGGTCTTCTTTAGCTAGAACTGGCGAATGACAGGCATGTGCTTTAGAGGCAGAAACAGTGAGGGAGGGTCATATGAGGTAGTCTGAAGTCATGTAGGAGATAACTACGTCTGCAAGATCAGCATTATACCAATGTTTTTTCAATAGCATGATGAGAAGGAAATGCTAAAAGCACAGGTTTCTTCAAGTCCCATGAAAGTTTGAATCAGGATGAGTAAGATGAATCATCCTGCAAATGGGTTGCCAAAAGTAAAGGCAACAAAAAAGCAAGGATGTAAGTGAGGGAAAGAATTCAGTTTAAAAATAGCATGATGAGAGATTGAAGGCAGGAAGTGTCTTAGAAAGGAATATTGGTCCTGAGATTAGGAGAAGATCTGTAGAGACTTGAAACCACTCCAGTTAGTTTTAAGAGAAGAGATTTACTTAGATAGGACAGTGATTCAAAACATGTTTTACATGACTTGGACGATCTCTCAACATTATAAGTAGCTACAGGATGGTGTTACTGCTGTAATCTGGATTGACAAGAATTGAAGAGCACAAGTAAATGCATCACATGTGATTGCCTTAGAAAAGAAGGGGAAGGAAACAGCAAAAAAGGGAGGAGAGTGCATAGAGAGGAAGAGCAGGAGGTAGGGTAAAATGATCGAAAAGGCTAGAAAGTACAGCAGCTGCAGAAAGGTTAGATTCAGTGCAACCTCTACGTCAGAGATGTTAATTCTGAACAGAAAGATCATAAAGAAGTAATTTAAAGTAGTGTTCAATTGGCAACAAGATGGCTGAAATTGTGAGTTCAGGAAAGCAAAGAAAGAGTTAATAGGTCTTGGCCTGGAATATGACAGCTTCAGGAGAGAGATAATTTATTGCGGAGGAAATCTTCATTAGTGGCTGTGATTTTGGAGAGGAATTGTAAGTAGAACAGTGACTTTAGCCCCCTGCATCCATGTTTTTCCATTATGTATTATATGAAAAGCCTGGAAAAGAATGTACTTTTGACGGGCAGACAGTTCTCTGAAAGTCAATGTCTTTGTCTCCTTTTTGTTGCTAGTTACAGACACTTATGCTTAGTTTTGAAACCAACAGAGTGAGCCCTAGTTTGCTGATCACAATGACTGCTTAATGTTAACAGTTCAGTAGAACACAGCAAGCATATGGTTAGTAGCACAGCCCTACTTTTTGTTAGTTTTTTAAGTCATCTTTGTGAGACTGTATAAATGCATAACATATTTAGTCCAGAGAGTGCTACAGATCAGAGAGAAAAAATCATCAGCAGTGTTTACTTCATGGGATACCTTAATTTGTTAACTGTATATCTGCTAAATATTGATGACATTTATCGCCTTAGGGTATCATGCTACCATGAGTTTGAAGTTCTGACTATTTGTTATCAAGTCAGTTTCTAATCTAGAAGATTTTTTTTCTCTTTGTAACTTCGCTATATGTTTGTGCATGGTAAGAGGTCCCTGTTTTCTCTCCTTTGACTGTGTTTTTTTTTTATCTTATAAATGTGCCTTTCTTAATCTTGAGTAAGGTTTAATTGTGCTTATTTTTTTTAAACAAACACACCTTTCAAAGATTCAATGAGCTGTTTTAACATGAGTTCAAGCTTATAGACCATGTAGAGTCAGAGGGCCTTCTCTTCACCCACGCAAAATGTTTGTTTAAATTGTTTTTAAAAGTGTTTAAAAACTCTCTTACAATTAGGACAAAATGTATATTCAACATACTGTCAATTTGATATCTCCCCATTTTGTCTGCAGTAAAGTCCCAAAATGTTACTTGGAACTACCTAACAAACAATTCCAAGACTGCACTTGAAAGTCATAATTTATTCAAACAATTGTGTCTTCCTAAAAAAATCTGAGAATTTAAAAGCTGAGAATGCCCTAAGATCTCAAAATTTTAATGTCATGAAGGTATTTCTGTACGTAACCTTTCAGTGCAAGATCATACTCTTTGCCTGTTACATTTGAGTGCTGGAAGTATGTTTACTGTAGCATATGGAAGACCTATGCTTATTCTACAATTCGGGAACTTCAATTAAAAAGAAATCAGGA